CTTTGCAGCATCTTAGTGAAGCTGTCTCCTGTCATTTAAAATTAAAACTTTCTAAACGATTAAACTGCTAAAAGACCTGTAACACTTATACCTATGTTTCCCTTTACACTGTTAATACTTAAAGCTGCTTAAATTAACAGTGTGCTGCTTGTAATAAAATACAAACAGTTCTTGTGAGACGATTGTTCGTCCTCATGGGTTTCTGTGCATTTTTGCTGAACGTGTAAAGCATGTGAAAACATTAATTAAATTTCTTGTTTGCATAGGTTTGGGGAAAAAATACTTTTATCAAGATAGGTTATGAATACTACTCCCCAGCTTCACCTGATAACAGTCTGTTGCCAAACTTGAAAGTGTTGGCACACAGCAAAATAACAGATGATATCTGAGTGGCTACTTTTGCTACATTATTTCAGAGTACGTGTTTCCAACTATGGGACATAGTACAGTATCTAAGGGGGGGTTATGTATGTGTGTGGGTGTGTGTGTTTGTGTTTTGAGATGTGTATGTGTAATTCGTTCTGCTACAAAGTGAGGACCATCACATGTTTTTAACCAGCAAAGTGAGGTCATGTTTTTGGAAAGCGAGGACATTTTCATGGTCCTCACGTTTTTCAGTTCTGTTGCACTTTACTAGTTAGGTTTAGAGGTGTCCTTGTTTTTCCTACATCATGGGGCCCAGTTTTAAGGAAAACGCAGCATTGTGGGGTCTGGGTGCTCCTTGTGGGGCCCAAAGCCTGAGCCCCGCAACTTCAGAGGCTGATTTTGGGTGTGGGGGTTTGCTTTAGAACCAAGGTGTGAAGTGAGTTTAGGTTAGTTTTAGGGTCAGGAAGGTCAGACAGGCCATGTTTTATTTTCTCGACTTATGGAGCAGTTCAAACTGCTCGAAAACATTTTTTCGAGTAAACGTGTCTGTTTAAAATTGTTCAGTGACTTTAACAACAAGAGGCAATTTATTTTTTCTCAATTAATTGTCATGCCATGTGCTGAGCATTTAATTAAAAAAAAGGGGTTGGTTGGATGGATGGATGGATGGATGGATGGATGTTTCATTGTCCCCAAGGGGAAATTTGTCTTGGACATCGTACGCTAAATAAAGCTGCTCCACAACTAAACACTACAAACAATAAAATCACGTGAACACCATAATAAACTCAAAAACACATATTGTCCAATAAAAACCCATATTGCACATTCTCACATACATTCCAGCAGGTAAACAAACCAACAAATCAGACCAGAGCATCAACAGCATAACAAAACTCTATATGCCTACTTTATAAATGCTTTTCAAATATACATGTTTTTTTATTGAGAGGCTTAGAATATTTTTTATAACTGATGTGCAATCATCTATTTTATCCAATACTGTAATTAAAATATAGTGATTAAGTTGTTGTGATTTTAGAAAGAACAACAACTGCCTAGGGTCTATTTAGTTACACCCCTAAAACACGCCTTAAACGCAACCAGACATATAATGTTTTTAAGTTTAAGCCTGTAGGACTTCCCTGTTTGTGAACTGAGCAACCTGGAATAGGTGAGGTCACTTTCCTTTCTTGCCAGAAGGCGGTGCTTGGCTCTGTTAAAACTACTGTGTTGTGAACAAACGTGGCAAATTGCCAGTTTTCTGAGATCCTGAGTACTTGGCACAGAGCGGAAAAGGTTGTGGTAAACCTTGCAAATAAATATTCAAATCTAACTTTGAATCAAACTCCTGTGTATAATTTAGGCTTGTACTTCCAATATATCCTTTCATACTGGACAGATTTTAACGAAAACTTATAAGAAGTAGTCACTGGACGCACATCTATAGCTGATGAACTTTTGGAGTCAATCCAGTTCAAGGTGTCTGCCACAGATAAATCGCTTTAGCCAACACAAAGATGTCTCTAAGTCAGTTTTACAGATTTTGAGAGGCAAGCCTATGTGGTAGTAGCTGAGAGTCATTCACAATACAAACCTGAGTGTGAAATATTGCGACATTAAAGGAAACTGTGTGCCATGGTTTGTCGAGGTTTGACCAAAACACCTTTAACTTTGTCATTTCTGACAGACTTGATACTCTTAGAAGTGATGTCCCAATACTGATACTGGTATCAATATCAGGACCAAGACCAGCATTTTTACAAGTACTCTATGGTGGCCCAGAAGGGTCAACAGAATGCAAAAACCACAGTGGAAGTTGTGCTAAAACAGAAGCTGAAGTAGAAATATTACCAGAGAATTCAAAATCTGAAAGTACACAGGCTAATTCAATACTTGAAACGGACTCAACTGTTTGAAAGTTGTTTTTTTCCTTCTTCTTTTTTTTTCCTTTTTGTTTGTGCACTGATCCGATCTATATTCCACACTAGTAGGTGGTGGTAATACACAACACCGTTGTTTTCCATCCATAGCAAACAACTGGCAACCAACAGTGTAGCACATTAAAATGCATTAAAATAAAAAAAACYAAAACATTCTTTCAAACAATCAAGTTGGTTTCGAGTACTGAATTAGCCTGAGTATGTTCAGATTTTAAATTACCTAGTCATATTTCTATATAACTACCGGTACTTCCATTCTAGCATAACTTCTGTTTTAGCATAAGTTCAATTGTGGCTTTTGCATTCTGCTGACCCTTCTGGGTCACTACAGGCCACCGTAGTACTTGTACCCGTAGAAAATGCCCCAATACTTTTAAGTGTAATGTCAGTTCCATGTTTAAGACGTACTCAAGTTGAAAGAAAATCTTTTTTGTTATTTTTATATATAGTATACACTCACCGGCCACTTTATTAGGTACACCACGCTAGTAACGGGTTGGACCCCCTTTTGCCTTCAGAACTGCCTCAATTCTTCGTGGCATAGATTCAACAAGGTGCTGGAAGCATTCCTCAGAGATTTTGGTCCATATTGACATGATGGCATCACACAGTTGCCGCAGATTTGTCGGCTGCACATCCATGATGCGAATCTCCCGTTCCACCACATCCCAAAGATGCTCTATTGGATTGAGATCTGGTGACTGTGGAGGCCATTTGAGTACAGTGAACTCATTGTCATGTTCAAGAAACCAGTCTGAGATGATTCCAGCTTTATGACATGGCGCATTATCCTGCTGAAAGTAGCCATCAGATGTTGGGTACATTGTGGTCATAAAGGGATGGACATGGTCAGCAACAATACTCAGGTRGGCTGTGGCGTTGCAACGATGCTCAATTGGTACCAAGGGGCCCAAAGAGTGCCAAGAAAAGATTCCCCACACCAYGACACCACCACCACCAGCCTGAACCGTTGATACAAGGCAGGATGGATCCATGCTTTCATGTTGTTGACGCCAAATTCTGACCCTACCATCCGAATGTCGCAGCAGAAATCGAGACTCATCAGACCAGGCAACGTTTTTCCAATCTTCTCTTGTCCAATTTCGATGAGCTTGTGCAAATTGTAGCCTCAGTTTCCTGTTCTTAGCTGAAAGGAGTGGCACCCGGTGTGGTCTTCTGCTGCTGAAGCCCATCTGCCTCAAAGTTTGACGTACTGTGCGTTCAGAGATGCTCTTCTGCCTACCTTGGTTGTAACGGGTGGTTATTTGAGTCACTGTTGCCTTTCTATCAGCTCGAACCAGTCTGCCCATTCTCCTCTGACCTCTGGCATCAACAAGGCATTTCCGCCCACAGGACTGCCGCTCACTGGATGTTTTTTCTTTTTCGGACCATTCTCTATAAACCCTAGAGATGGTTGTGCGTGAAAATCCCAGTAGATCAGCAGTTTCTGAAATACTCAGACCAGCCCTTCTGGCACCAACAACCATGCCACGTTCAAAGGCACTCAAATCACCTTTCTTCCCCATACTGATGCTCGGTTTGAACTGCAGGAGATTGTCTTGACCATGTCTACATGCCTAAATGCACTGAGTTGCHGCCATGTGATTGGCTGATCAGAAATTAAGTGTTAACGAGCAGTTGGACAGGTGTACCTAATAAAGTGGCCGGTGAGTGTATATCATGGTGTATATTTGATCTGACCCAGTCAGTGGGGCTGTAGGCCTATAAGGATAAAGAGCCACCTCCTAAATAAAAAAATGTGTTTTTAAAGTCATTGTTTAATGTTTAAGTTCTAACTCAGTAAGTACTCTGTATCGGCCCTCGGCATCGACGAGTACCCAAACTGTTTGAGAGAACCTGGTATCGGGACAGCCCTAAATCTTAGTGTCAAATTCTGCCATAAAAAGCCATGGGCAATTTATATTCCTTTAAGGAATGTTAGGCCTTTAATTTATGAAAATAATTTAAAACTATCAAAAGATTTATGAACAAACTTTAAAGATGTAAGGTTTTTTTTTGAACAGAATACAATATTTAAGTCAAAAGTTAAATCTGTCTTCGGCTCATGAGTCCGTTTTTTACTGCCTGTTTTGGCAGCCACTCGCTTAAGTCCGGATCTTTCCTTTATGGCGACGACTGGGCAATGTTAGGGCCGCTCATTTTATTTCCTACTCATCAATCCTCCACATCCTTCCCTCGTTAAACTGTCTTGTTAACCATTACGGCCAAACAGAGGAGGACCGAGCTATTAAAAGTGTTAAACCTTTACACTGGGAGCGGCGATTTCACTTGCACCCGTAAGTGCAACAACAGCGATGAAGACAAGCACCAACTCATAACAACTCATCGGCTCAAAGCTTTATCAGTAAAAAACACCACACACCTGTAGAATTTGAGCGAGGGTTCTACAGCGAGTAGGACGAACGGCACCACGGTGTAACAGATGGCAACCTGTGTGGACACCCACGTGATGACATCGTACATGGACTTGTACGACTCGGAGGCCAAAAAGTGTGGCCTGATGTTGTGCCTTACCTTGAATGAACAGAAAGAAAGAAAAAAACAACTTTAAATTACTCCTGATTCATTTTACTTTGCAGTAAAGTAAACACAAATTAAGCAAACTGACCTGGTTTACCTACAGCTGCCTATTTCTGCTTATTATCCGTTTACCTTCCCTCTCTGCTTTGGCCCTTTTCTATTTAAAAAATAAACCTGAGCATCTGTGAGCGGCAGCCACTGTTAGTTTGATTTAGAACTGGGTCACATTCAGGCAAAGAACAACCCAAAAAAAAGGGACTGCAGGAACTCACCTGCACAATAAATTTACAACATTTACATTCAACTACATTATTTAGAGTTATAAAGCTGTTTTACTGTTCACTCCACTCAAAGTTTCCATGTAAATGCTCCTGTTCATAACTGAAGCAAAGAAGCCTTACTGAGCAAAGATAAAAGCTAATGGCTCCGTATGTAAATTGAAATTTAAGTGCTGCACTACTTCACTGTCTGCACGCTCTCAATTAAGACATTTTTCTGTGGATTTCTTAGTTTTTAAGTAATTCTGATGAATTAAAAAAGCTCTTATACTCTACCAAAGTATTGGAAAACAAATGAGCTTTTATTAAAAAAAAAAGCCTTTTTAGAAAAAAAGAAAAGTATCCATTATACTCTATAATGTAAAAGAGGGTAATGCACAGAATCATGAGTATGAGTTTTAGTTTATTTGGCTCATTTTTTGTTTTTCGGGATAAACTAACTGTATGTATGTGTGCGCACTTACTGCACGGGCAGCCATGGTCATGCCGATGCCGGTGACGAAGGTCATGTAGTAGCCGGGGTACACGCCGTGCCACAAGGCTGACAGCAGGAAGGTTGCTCCTGTGGGGTTGATGGGGCATCGCTCGTAGCACACCCTGAAAAACAAATAAAAAAAGGTTAATTAAACATATTGTGTGCTTAACCTTATACAAAACAATAGTTCACATTTTAATTAGATCACACACAGCATTTATAGTTTTTTTATTATTATTATTTTTTACCTTTTAAGCCAGTGACTTGTTTGAATATTCCAGTTGTCTAGAAACAGCTTGAAACTAGTGGCGAGCTGAAATCCGATGCAGAGAGATTTGTATTCAAACTTATTATCAAGGTCAGTTAAAGATTGTGAATAAACACAAACCTCAATGTCCAGAATTCTGAGATTTGATATCAGGTCCCACCGTGGAGAGCCGTCTGCGTTGTAGCCATTGAAGCCAAATCCTGCAGCGTTGTTGATGGCATCAGCTGCAGGAGACAGAAGAAAACAAAAAGTCAGAGTGCATGTGATGCATGTGTTTAGAGGTTGAGACAAAAAAACTCACTTTTTTTATTATTGTAAAAGAAAATCTTCACATATACAAATAAATAAAGTAAGCCACGGGGGTAGGCTTCTAAAATAAAAATATTTAGTACAAAAACCATTAAGATAAATTTTAAAAAATGGCCTACAGCATCCATGTGTGTTTATTCTTAAAAATAGTAGATAAATTTAGTTTGTTTTCCTTAAACACTGGGGGAAAAGGTGAAGAAAATGAAAATGTGTCCAATATTATAATTAGATTATTTGCCAGTCTTCTGTTCATATCAGAATTTTTTATTATTTCCATGAAAGCCAAAAACATGCTCGGCAGAGACAAAAAACAAATATATGATCACATGTTGAAGTTTATAATTTACCACTAGATGGCAGTGTTGCATCAAAAAAATGATGTTGACATCTTTTTTTAAGGCTCTATGGCGTCATTACAATGAAAATTTGTGAGAATCAAGGAAATGATTTCAGTCAAAGAAGCAAACAAAAATCAAAGCRGTAGGTCTATATCAGTTGTTGCATCACTTCATTGCTGAATGTCCTCATTGTGTGTCATTGCCATTTTTGTACAATAGATTAAATGTGTCATTTTGGAGGGTAAGACTTGTTTTTTTTTTTTTTACTTATACATTCATGAGTCTGACTGATACTGCATTATAAAAACACTTCATATAGAAGTTACTTGTAAATATGTTTTTTGTTTGTTTGTTTTTTAACCGCCAGATAAAATGCTGAACTCGACAAAAAACGTCATGTCAAACTCACCAAGTGTCCAGACAAAGTAGTACTTTGGCCTCAGAGCCAGCATAGCCAGGTAAAGGTAGATGATCTGGACATAAAACGGCGCAGATCTGACAAAGTCATCATTTATGGAGTAGTCCACTGGGAACAGCTTGTACAGGGACAGATAGATGACCAGACAGAGAGCACAGGTGCACAGCTTGGAGATGACAGCATTCTGGGCCAAGATGGGGAAAATAATAAAATACAAGCGAATAAATAAAATGAAGCAGTTTTGATTACGCCTCACTACATCTGACAAATCTCCAAAGATGATTTGTACCTTCGGCGAGGGTTCGCTCAGCCTGAACTTTCCGTTCTCCTTGCCGTTGGCGTTCTCCTGGTGCCGCGGCTGATAGGCCCTCCCTTCGATGAAGGCTATATAGTCGTTGTAGGAGCACGTGGGCCCCGCCAGGATGCCCATGAAGTTACAGTTGTAGCTCAGGTACTCCAATAAGCTGGGCATACGGCTTGAGGGTGAGAGGGCAGGGAGAAGGTTACACAGTCAGGACACGATCCCCAAAAATATATGTTTCATCTTAAGAGGATAAAAAAAACATAGGCTGCCTTTGGCTTTAAACATCCCTGTGGTTCATTCTAGTTAATTGTCTGGAAAAATACAGGGGACCCCGAGTGACCCTTTGTGGCTGAGTGCTTTGACTTGAAACGTTTGGACTGGAGGATAACTGTCTGAACATGAGCCGGGCTTTGTTTGTCTCACCTTCCCAGCAGCTATCTCTGAGTGAGCACAGGGAAATACTCCTGACATCCAGCTTCACATTTAGGGCCTTTAAAATGCACTCTGGTTCAGAATATCCCTGTGATTTTAGTGCCTGAAATTCACTTTTGAAATTTGGGGGGTATAAAATGTATGAGTGGGGGTATGTACATATTTGTGCTAATCAACACAAGACCTATCAGATTAATGTGCCGTTTTCATTTGCCTCCTTCTGCCTTCCTAGCTGTTACCTCAGCTGCTCTCTGCTTGTTCCTTTCCTTGTTTGGTCTCTTTCCTGTATTTGTAAGCACAGAAAACTTTCCAGGAAAAGAATTCTACTACTTGTGAGACAAACTACGGAGCTCAACACTTCCTGTTCTTACCTCGGATCGACACATTTATTACTGTCCCTTTTACTCTTCTTCCCTGTTGTTTTTAGCTGCATCTGTGGCTCTCTCTTCTCTGCTCTGCTCTATTCTTTCCTTGTTCTTGGGCTCCTCCTCTGCATCTCGTCAAACTAACGACTTTGTTGCAAACAATCCCTTGCAATCCAGCAGCGAACGTGAGGCCCTGTATCTTTGTGTAACCTGGGAATAATTGTGTCAAAATAAACATATTTCTCAGAAATTCACAGTCTCAGGTGAGAATTATGACCCCGTTCAGGTCAGGACTTTGCTCACATGAAAAACACAATCTTTTCATTGTAATGTTTGCATGCTTTCTGACCTTTTTTATTTTGCCTGTTCAAAGCACACTGGCCTCTACTAAAGAAAGAAATATTTCATAAAATGATGATATGATGCCGATGTAGCAAACTATCTAAACTATGTACAGTGGGGAAAATAAGTATTTAGTCAGTCACCAATTGTGCAAGTTCTCCCACTTAAAAAGATGAGAGAGGCCTGTAATTGACATCATAGGTAGA